TATTACCATTTATCATTTAAATACTTTTAAATAATATATATGTACTTATGTTAATATATAAATTTTACAAAATTAAAAAAAAAAATTATTAAAAATATCATGCCAACCACAGATATGAATCAACTATATTTGACAATACCAACAATTTCCTTTTTTTTTTTTTTTTCTAAGAATGTTAAGTTTTAAAAAAATGTTTTGAAAGTCACATAATAACTATTTATTTCCGGTTTTTGGTCTCCAGGAACCAAATAAATGTTGATTTTTAAGTTTGATTGATAAGTTTAGTTAAATCATAATAAAAATCAATATTTAGTAGAAATTACATAACATTTTGTTAAAGGAACTATCAATTTTGAACATGGAGTTCTTATGCAAAATGATTAGGAAAAACTCTGAGACTCTCTTCCTTAGTAACCTATGACTCAAATAATGGCTGCCTAGAGTCTTTTTGGAATTAAATATAATAAAAAACTCTGAAATGATACTAAATTTTCAAAATTATATATATATATATATATATATATATATATATATATATATATATATATAATATATATATATATATATATATATATATATATATATATATATATATATATATATATATATATATATATATATATATATATATATATATATATATATATATATATGTTATCATCATAAAACACTATTGTAAAATAGTGTTTTATCACTATAATTTTAACTTTAAAAATCAAATTAAAAACATGTTTGCATGTTCTAAAGAAGTAAAAATGGCTTTAGGTAAGCAGAACTTATTTGAAAAAATATAACACTAAAGTAGCAAGTAAACAATAAAAAATATATAGCTATTAGTAACAGCTATATAGATAAAAAAAAGTGTTAAAATGCCTGTAAGTGTCAAAAAAACATCTTAAAAATCCAGTGTACACCACTGCAAACTAATAAAGTACAATGAGATGTATACATAATACACAATAGATATTCTATATAATAAATATTTAATACCTACCAAGTTCACTGCTTTTACCAGTAAAACTACAGCCATACTCTGCGAATTGAAAAACTTTAGAGACAAGTGCTGGTGTTATTACTTGAGACAATGGTAACCATGAAATATATTGAGTCAAACAATTAAATATAGATATACATATTTCTTCAGTAACTTTGTCCATATCTGAGCTGGTTCTTGTGTTTTGTGATAAAAATAGCCCGTTTAATAACAGACTGTTAGCAGGTGAATGATGAGGCGAATGCTGTGGTGTATGAAATGGCGATCCTTGATTTGGCGAAGGAGGAGGAGTAACTGTAGAAGCAGAAATTGATTTATGAATAAAGGAATTAAGAATTTCAGTTAAAGTGCGAAGTGCATCAGGGATATGTCTCAGAAGTTGCTCTCTAAGCTCTTGTCTGCGAGACATATTTAAGTCCTCACGAGGTGAAATAAATTCTTCTGATATCATTTGGAGAGTAATGACACCAATCAATGTAGTGCTTGGCTCTTTTACCAGCTAAAATAATCAACTCGCTTAGAATGTTTTATAAGTAGTAAAGGAAAACTAAACTCATTATAAGTTAATGCATCATTAATCATCGTTTATTTAATTTGTAGGCTTATTTTACCAATAGAAAAGAAAAAAAAATTTACCTGCATATATAATAAATGGAACAATATGAAGAAAATTTACCTGCATGACATTAGAAAAAAATGAAGGATAAAACATTGGCCAATCATTTCTTCCAATATTAACTATGACTTTAATGCATTTGTTGCGAATAAAAGGAGCCATTTCTTTATGTTTTGAAATTAACAAATTATAAACAACCTTTCGCACCTGTTGTTTATCATTACCAGGGAAACTAAGCCATCTTCTGTTAACAATAGTCTAAATAGTAAAAAAAAAAACATAAATAAAAGTAAATTTAGTTTGCGTATCTAGTAACTTATTCGCTGTTTCACTAAAATTTAATTTTCTTGTGTTCAACTAACTCTTGTGTAAGTATTTTTAGGTTTTTACAGCTTTTAGTTTTTTTGTTTTTAAACAAATTTTTATTACTACTATACAATTAACTAATCTGTTTTTATCTGTATCATTAGTCAAACTATAGATGATTTAAATATCATTTCTTTATATTATTGTAAGTCAAGGTAGGCTGACCAGATTTTTCTGAAAAAAAAAAGAATATATTTCCTAAATTCAACCGTAGCCCAAAAAACATTGGGTTTTAATGATTTTATTAAAAACCTTTTAATGTAAAAAAGGTGAAAACAAAAACTGAAAAACGAAAACTAAAAAATGAAAACACAAGTAAAATCTCTGTATTTTACACTTCAAAAAAGGTTGAAAACACAAGTAAAATATCTGTATATTATACATTGAAAACACAAGTAAAAACTATGTATATTATACATCGAAAAAAGGTTGAAAACACAAGTAAAATTTCTGTATATTATACTTCAAAAAAAGGTTGGAAAAACAAGTAGAACATCTGTATATTATACATCGAAAAAGGCTGAAAACACAAGGGTGTATGTATAGCCAATACAATCTATAATTTATTATATAAAAATCATTTATAGATACTTTTCAGAATCTTTTGCTTTTTGTAACAAATGTTTGTTTCCTTTTATTTCTTCATAAAATTGATCGCATGTAAGACCAATGTTAATTTTTACTTTTATTACACTCTTAAGTGTACTAATTTTTAAATGGCTTTTATCTTTTGCTTTTGACCCACTAAACTAAACAAGCGTTCACATTCTGCATTAGTCCCTGGAACAGTAAATACAAAAGCAGCAAGCATTTTCAGCAGTTGAAGCTTTACTACAGCATTGCCATTATTTAAACCTTCTAAAACAATTTTCAGTCTAGAAAATATAGGAACAGATTCAGCCTCCCAGTTTTCCAGATTTATATCTAAACAAGCTTGATGAAATGAAAGAGTCAAAAATTTCATTATCATCTATAACAGAAATAGGTAATGATTTAGTTTTATTAAGGAAATAAATGTACACTTCCTTAAAATCCTCATATGAAAATTTTTCCTTTAACAAAAGGTATTTCATATTCCTTGCTTCATTGCAAAATCTACCAGACCACTTTTTTAAATAATCAATTATAGTGCTATAAAATTTCACTACAATAGAAATAACATGATCGCTATCTAATATTCCTCCTGCTTCTAGTTTTTATAAAAGATTATCTGCCATAAATGGTATAAATCTGCTTTCAAGTCTATTTTCATAATTAGCTAATAGTTTGTAAAACTCAGTTGATACTTCCACTGCACTTTTATCGTTTCCATCTATTTTTTTCACAGTCTCACCAAACAAATGAAATTGGGGTTGAAGGAAAAGTAACCAAAATTCAGAAGATCCAGAATTAAAAAAATTAAAAATTGCAAGTGGTGAATTTTCCTCACTTAGAAAATATGACTTCAAAGGTTCATACAATCTAAGTATTCTGTCTATGCATGGCGATAAAGATAGCCATCGTGTTTTTGAATGTTATAGAACCATTTTAAATTGGCATCCAATGAAGACACAAAAATCTCTTTCAACGTTTCTGTTCGAAGAGTAAATATATTAAAATGATGATATATTTTAAACATTATATTTTCTATATCTATTGAAATTATCTTTGAAGTAGCTGCAGATAGGACATTATGCACTATATGACCAGCGCAGCCTATTGTCAAAATTTCTCTCTTTAAATCCTTTTCAAGCTTTGAATGAATATTACCTTCAGTTTTTTTACTTGATAAAGCACCAAAGTTAACTGCTGCATTATCTGCTGAAAATTCAATTATTTTATCATATGTTGTAAAAAAATTTATATCTTCTAAAAAAACTTTTGTTATTGTTTCTTCTGTTTCATTTGGAAGATTATGAACTTTCAAAATACTATACTTAATTTCAATAGCAGGTTTAACAACACAGTATCTTACTATAACATGTAGAAGTTTCGTATTTTTGTGGTTCGATGTATCACACGCGACAACAACAAATTTTGCATTCTTCAAGTCTTTGTTTAACAAATCTTCAGACCAATTTAAAATTATATTATTTACAAGACACTCTGACTTGGTTCTTCCACACGCAAACTTATAATCACAGGATTTTCACAATAAATTTAATGTGCAGTCCATATCCCTAAAAGAATAATCGTGCTTTATATTATGGTATGATCATAGAAGTTCAAGGGCTGTAAGTTTTACTTCAGAAGTAGTTAAATCTTTACAGTAAAAAAAGTCTCTTTTTGTGTTGTAGAAACTGATGAACATTTTTTATGCTTTTTTGAAGCTGCGTGTTGAATAATATCAAATTTGCCAATTATAAAAACTGTTGTATTGCATATAGTGCAGAAAAAGCTATGTTGATCACTTTTCACTCTTTTGGCAAATGCAAAGGTTTCTTCAAATATATCCAAAAATTTGCACTTCCCTCTAGACATTTTCATAAAAACTTGATTGCTATGCATCCGCAATCAAATTATTGTCTTAAAAGTTGAGTTGTTTTTGACAGAACAGTAACGATAAAAATCTGTTTAAAGTTCAGGGCAAAAAGTTAAGATTTTACCTCATTTACCACAAAATTTGTTATTTTCTTTTAAATAAGAAAGTTTTTGCTCAATAAAAAAAAATATATCCATCATAAAAAAAAGAGTATATTAAAGTATTTAAAAAAAAAAGAGAGAGTATGAAAGATTTTACTTCAAAAAGAGTATAATACTCTAAAAAAGAGTATGTCTGATCAGCTCAAGTCAAGGCCACTTAAGTTATTTGAATTAAACTTTAACTGATTTCTAATAAATTTTAAACTGATTATACTAACCTCAAGAATGCTTAAAGAATACATGTGAACATAACTATTTGAACAATTTTCCAAAAAAAACAAACATTGAATCCAAGATCCATCTTGAATAGCAAACCTGTTTAAGAGCTCTTCTACAAAAAAGTATAATTTTTTTTTATTTTTATGCATAAACTTAAAAACTTTTTAAAAAATATTGCTATATATATAATATATATATATATATATATATATATATATATATATATATATATATATATATATATATATATATATATATATATATATATATATATATATATATATATATATATATATATATATATATATATATATATATATATATATATACTCTGTCAAAAAAGGGTTCATCCACCTATTCTGTACATTTTTCAGACGTGATAACTTTTTATTCAGCAAAGATATAAGTATAATTTTAACTAAATTATATCAGTTAACCATTCAAGAAGTATTGTATAAAAAGATTTTACAAAATAATAAATAAAAAATAAAATACGACATTTTAAAATAAATAATGTTCGTTTTAGCACCAAAAAAGCTTTCATCCACCCTGCACTCCAACCTCAATTTGTTACTAAATCAGTATTAAAGTAACATTTTTAAAATATAAATTAGATTTAGTAAGATTTTTATATTATTTTTTCTCTATATGAAATTTTTATATTTTTTATTTGTGTTAGATTATTAACAAAAAATGAGAGTTGCAGAGGAAAATAGATCACTTATTGTTAGACTATGGAAGGAGGGATAATCACAGCGAAAAATAGGAGAAATAGTAAAGAAATCACGTGCAACTGTGCAGTCAATTATCAAGAAATACCAAACCACCAAAAAAATTCCTGATAAGCCACGAACAGGACGTCCAAATAAAATTCAAGTATTGCATCGACGAGCTATTTTAAGAACAATCATCCAAAATCCTAAAATAAGTGCTCCGAAACTTGCTGGAATGCTGCAAAATGGTTACAATTTAAAAGTGGACCCTGAAACTGTTAGAATAACCTTAAGAAGAGCTGGATACAATAGTAGAGTACCATTGAAAAAGCCCTTCATTAGCAAAGTCAACAAAGTCAAACAACCACACTTTGCAAAACTTTATAATGAACCACAGACATTCTGGGAAATGGTTCTTTTTAGCAATGAGTCAAAATTTAATATGTTTTTATCAGATGGAAGAGTTAAAGTTTGGAGAAAACCAAACGAAGCATTTAAAAAACAAAACTTGTGTCCAACGGTGAAGCATGGTGGAGGAAGTGTTTTAGTGTGGGGGTGTATGAGTGCTTCTGGTGTAGGTAACTTGATTTTCATTGATGGAAATATGGACCTAAATGTGTATTTAAACATTTTAAAAAATAATCTGGAAGAAAGTGCCTACAAATTGGGACTTACTAGGTCATTTATTTTTCAGCAAGATAACGATCCAAAACATACAGCTAAACGTGTCAAGGAATGGCTTATATTTAAAATAGCTAAGCAACTTCACACACCTCCACAATCTCCAGATTTGAATCCTACCGAACATCTGTGGGATGAATTAGGTAGAAGAATAAGCACCCATGATGTAAGGAATAAACAACAACTACAATTAGTAATTATGAAAGAGTAGGGCTTAATCACTCCAGAAATTACCAAAAAATTAGTTGATTCTATGAAAAACAGACTACACGGAGTAATAAAAGCTCGTGGTGAAAACACAAGTTATTAAAACACTAACAAATTGAGTTCGAATAACAATTTTATTTGATTTTTGTAAAGTGGATGAAAACTTTTTTGGGACAAAAATGTCTATCTTTAATTCCGAAATGCTGTATTTTATTTGTTACTCATTACTTTAAAAAATTTTCTTTGTACAATATTTCTTAAATGTTTAAATGATATAATTTAGTTAATGTCATGCTAACATCTTTGCTGAATAAAAATTTATTGCATTTTTAAAATGTATATATATATATATAAATATATATATATATATATATATATATATATATATATATATATATATATATATAATATATATATATATATATATATATATATATATATATATATATATATATATATATATATATATATATATATATATATATATATATATATATATATATATATATATATATATATATATATATATATATATATATATATAGATATATAGATATATATATATATATATATATATATATATATATATATATATATATATATATATATATATATATATATATATATATATATATATATAGATATATATATAGATATATATATATATATATATATATATATATATATATATATATATATATATATATATTATATATAGAGAGAGAGAGAGAGAGAGAGAGAGAGAGAGAGAGAGAGAGAGAGAGAGCATATATATATTATAAATACTCATACCAATTTGTCTTTTTCGATCGTTACTCGTTGTAGATCCAAAAAACTCATTGAGTAACTCTTCCAGGCTTCTTAAAGTTGCATGATTTCCATCCTAAAAAAATGTCTAGTAAATATAACCTTAATCAAACTCGTTTATTAAAATTATAAGAGTATAACTAACCATATCAGAGCATATTAACCAACAGAAACCTTTACAGGTTGCTTTTATGGGGATATTTTTTCGCTATTTATCTTTTATTTTTTTTCTTTTAACTATTTTTCTTCTACTTTCTTCTATTTTTATGCTAAATGCAAAATCTGTTATTATTTAAACTTGCTTATAAACAAAGCTCTTATTAAAATAAATAATATTAAAAATATATAATCCAATATATATGTTTGTTATATTGTATCTTATCCCCGTTGTTTTTAGATTTAATCATTTAAATGAGATTTTAATGACTGTTTATAAACAATTATTGCAAAGGTAGTTTTCATTTACTGTAAAAAAATAATTCGGGCAAATAAAAATAGTGCAACAAATCTGTACTACCAAATCAATACATCTGGTTTGGAAATAGACTGGAAAATTAATTTTTTTTATCTAGTGACGTCATAGTAGTTAAACGCTGATTTAGGAAACCAGACAGTTACACTTTTCACAATTTATTAAAACATTTCACAATAAATACGCAATAGCGTTGCAAGGTCTATGACAACCGCGCAAGGGAACACAAGCTGTTGTGAACATTAAAACACCTACACAAAAAAATGTCGAAAATAATTTAATAGGTTTTAAGTCTACTGCAAGATGAACTTTTAAATTATTTGTAAATGTAACAATTTTTTTAAATTCAAGTATATTTAGCATAAACTTATTTTCCTTTATCTGTTGAAACACGTAAACTAGTGCGTATAAACAACTAGATAACCCTCAATACATATATTTGCAAATAAGTGATAAGCTGACCTTTCTTACTATTACACTTTAGCATTGCGTATGTACTTCTCATTCTGTTATATATCAATGTACTTCTCAATCTGTTATATATCAATGATATTCCAAAATGCATCTCTTCAATCACAAAACAATATGCAGATGATATTAAAATCGTAATTGCTATAAATAAAGATAACAATCTAGTTAATATGCAAAATGAGATTGATATGTCAATTGAAGGGATTGTCAATTGGATTAAATAATTAAATTCAGTGTTATGCACATACAAAATAAAAATATTAATTACAACTTCACTATAAAATATGACAACCAAAAATTTTCTCTTAAAACAACAACAAAATAAAAAAACAACAAAATAAAAATATTAATTACAACTTCACTATAAAATATGACAACCAAAAGTTTTCTCAAAAAAACGTGTTATTACAGTTTCATCCAATATAAAATGGAATCAAGTATATATGTTCAATATGAAGTAGCTTCAAGTAGCTTAGATTGTCCCATTCACGTAAAATTATAGAATTATCACGCCAACTTTTAAATTGAGGTTTAGACCAAGAAAAAAAAATATGTGCTATTTTCTTTGGAAGTATAAAAATTTTATGGTCTCCCCACTTAAAGAAAGTTGAATGAATCCTTTTTTACTGTATTTTTTTAGTTTTTTGCTTAAAATGTGTTTCGTAACGACTTCAACTTTTTACACAGTATTATTTACTATTTTGTTTATATTGTATAAAATTAATTTAAGGGTCCACTCGAATTAAATAGTCAAGTGGTTTTGTCATTTAGCAAAGTCAAGTAATTTGCGCCAGATTTCGTTAGACGGTATCACTAACTGTTAGTAACCGTAAAGGCTTAATTTTGGAACTTTATAAAAATGTATTCGTAAAAGATTTTATATAATAGAAACGTATGTGTCTAAATAAAAAAAGTTTGATTGGTTTATTTCGACCAATAAGCTATTTTTAAACGATAGTCGCATCTAAACTGGCGTTTTAGTATATAGAATACTTCTTTTCGTGTTGTTTTTAAAGCGTGTTTTTTCTGCGGTTACCACAAAAATGGTATTACGTTCTTGTAAACTACCGAAAGCTAGTGAATCTCTAATGAACGAGAAAAATTGTTCAGTGGAAAAAGTCCACATGAAATCATCATCAAGATTACTTTATTGGATTTGGGTTAGAAAAAAGTTAAAGTGTAAAAAGTCAACTTTAATTGCTTTGTTCTAATTGTACATTAGAGAAATCAATAAGGAAAGTGATGCAATAATAGTGTCGACAAAAAACATTTTCAAAGATGTCATGATTGAATTACCAGAAATTTGGAATATTTACCAGTTAAGCTAAATAACGAACGACAAAATCTGTTGAATGAATGATAATGAATGAATGAAAGTGTGTTGAAGAAAGAAAAGAAGTGCCTCAAGAAGAAACGAGACCAATTTTTTGGTTTTGGAATTAATGAATCAACTGTTGTGAGTTTTTATTGAATCAAAGTACCCACAGATAATTTCAAGCATTATTTCAATAATGTTGAAGTATTGTATTTACTAAAGGTAATTGTTTTCATTTTACATTATTATGGTATTGTTTATCTCCGATTAGGTTAGTTTGATGATTGGTTGAGACAGTTTTTTGCGCAAATCAGATAGCCAGCTGTTGCTATTCAAATAGCAACAGTTAATCCTACAACGTAGGATCAATTTGGTAGGCCTTAGCCTAAGAGATCAAATGCCTGTTGAATCTAGTGCTTCCAATGCCGGTAGTACCGAAACCGGAATACCGGTATTACCTGACTTTTTCAAGTACTGAAATAACGGTATTAATTTGGTTCATTACCGGTATTAAAAATATATGTAGAGGGCTTGTGATAAAGCGGATGCGATTGCAAGTAAATGAAATGTTTAAAACTTTCAGTGCCGATAAAAAACGCTCGTTCATCTTGCGATGAATGTATAAAATCACGCTTGCTAAAGAATTTGGTGAAAATGATAACTTGTTTAATTGATTTTTTATGAAAAAAAATTATTGTTAAAAAAATTTAGTTAAAGAATAAACTTGTTTAAGTAAAATTTTGTTTTCCTTTTATTAACAATGCACTTGTTTAAATTACTATCATTACGTCACCAGCTTTAATATAGAACACATGTTTGAGTTTTGCACTTTCGTAAAGGATGAAAAAGTTGTTTCAGCGGATTTCTAAAATGGAAGCCCATATCATAGGGCTCCTATCTATTTTATCCTATCCCCTATTTGGGACCCACTTTTTTATTTATTTACATTTTTAATAATATTTTGAATAATTATTTATTTATAAATTAGATACATATAATTTAATATGCATATGTCACGTTAGTCTAGCTTTATAGAAGTACAACAGGAAATCAAACATAGAAAGAATAGGGTAAACAATAATAAACATTATAATTAACCCATAGTTATTATATATAAAAATAGTAAGAGTAAAAGTCATATATAAATAATTAATTCGTACCTTTTTTTAATTATGTTTGTTAAGACTTGTTAGATAGGGACCTCTTTAAGACTTCTCATTTTATATACATTCTTGCTTGTGGGTTTATAAAAACTCAAATAGTGTATACACTAGAAAAATTTTTTATACATAAAAAAATACTTTTCAAATACAATTTAAAACTCTTTTACTACCACTAATACATGACATTGATAGCACTATTACGGAGTCTTTAAAATGATTTGACTTTAAATAAAAAGAAGATTTTTCGAAAAAGAGTTAATTTGAATTTAGTTTAAAATTTGAGAAAAGCTTTGAGACGGAATTACATTTGAGAAACGTAAGGGGGGTTTTCATAAAGTAAGTTCGCTATTGTGATTTATTCTCTCCCAGCTAATTGCCTAGCGGAGTACCTTATAAAATTGCGCACATGATCGAATAACATTTAGATTTAGAAAATAAGATTGAATTTAACGCTTTTTTAACTTCATCATGGGCCCTAAATGGGCCTCATATAGGCTGTCCCTTGAACACAAAATTTTAACTTTTTAAACTACATATATGGGTCCACAATGGGCTCCATGTGGGCTAACCCTTGAATACAAAATTTTGTAATCAAGGGCTCGCCCAAATGGGGCCCATTTTGGGCCCATATAAAAAGCCCAAATTGGGCCTACTTGGGCAAACCCCTATGGGCCCCAATAAGACATGTTCACTGGGTAGTTATCAAACTGAAAGTTGATAGTAAGTGCAACGACGATATGCAATGGTATCATGGTACAGACAAAAAAGTTTCTAATGCAGCCACTCAGTCTTTAACAAAATGAATAAAAGAAATAAAGTCTAAAAAACCGTCTTTCCGAAAGTCGATGGCAACAACTTCCCTGCTTTTGTCTCTTTAATTGGTTCAAACTCATCGCTACTATTTAAACTAAATAAAAATGAAATCCAGGTAGACTGAATGCAGTTGCTATTGAGGACAGGATGAAGATAAAAGATCGCAACTATGTGACAAATATTATTATGTACTGTTAAGTTGTGAATAACTGCGCCAAAAAAATTCTAAGACTTATACAAGAAACTAGGACAAAACAAAATCAAAGACCCCACGCAGCTTCAACTACTACTATAAATAGTGGAAGATCACTGCAAACGAGTTTCTCTTCATAGACAAAAAGAAAATTTAATAAAATTTAATAAAATTGAATTTTATTAAACTATGTTTAATAAAATTTAATTTTATTAAATTTTATTAAATTTAAATTGGCACTGCTGTGCCAATTTTATTAAATTTTATTAAATTGAATATTTATTAAACAACAGAACGTATGTTGTAATAACAAAAGTTAAATTGCTTAAAGCCACTTGACTATTTAATTTGGGGAAACCTTGATCTAATTTTTTTAAGTCGAATTCGCTAAGCAATATATAGTAAATGATAATGTGTGAAAAATTGAAGTAGTTACGGAGTATATTTGTTAACATTATGAGCAAAAACTTAAAAAAGACGATAAAAAGGATTTTTCCAACTTTTTCTAAATGGGGAAGACCTTAAAATTTTTGTTTTTATAAGGTACTTGGTACATATTATATTTTCTTAGTTTAAACCGCAATTTAAAAGTTGGTGTGACAATTCTAAAATTTTGTAGGAATGAGACACCCTAAAGTAGCTAAAAGTAAAGGACAAAGAATTTTATGCTTAATCAGAAAAAGCTTAACACTGAAATGGTAAAACAGTTATGCACATCGCTGGTTAGTTCACGCCTAGAATTTGCAGCTTTTGTATGGAGTCCAAGTAATGAAAAAGTTCAAAAACAAGCAACAAAATTAGCACCTGAAATAAAACATAAAAGTTATACTGAAAGATTGACAAAGTTG